TATAATAAATGTATATATATGTGTGTGTGTGTGTATGTGTGTGTGTGTGTGAGTGTGTGTGAGTGAGTGTGTGTGTGTGTGTGGGTGTGTGTCTAAGTATATATCCATGTATAATTATGTATGTACTAAATATTGATATATATATATATTTGATTATTTGGACGAACATGATGTATTTATTCCTTTTGTATGAGATATTCACGAGCACAGTATTTCTATCGATGACCTGTCAATCTCGGGAAGGCAATGTCTTCTCATGGGAATGAAGCTGCATACACTCCACTTACACGAACCGACAACCTATATCCATTTTATACGGGTATGTTTCTGTTGCAAGTATGCTAACCATGTTATTTTATCCTTCAATTAAATTGCAGCAAGGCCCCACCACCTCTGCGGAGGATCAAGCCAAAGTGGCTGCACTCAAGGCACAGATGGCCTCGACAGACCAGCGGTTACAAGGCGACGGGGCCTCAGGGGCTTCAGCCACGTTAGAGTCCATTCCAGATGTAGCGATTGGCGCAGGTCGACAGAAGTACGTGCTGATAAAGGTGTGGTGAGTTGGAATGCACGATGTACAGTTGATGTTTGTTGCTACAGTGCACACGTGGGTATACTTGCCGTTACGAGGGAGGGGCTTTGGCTTGGAGAGGGTGTTACTTACGTGCCTGCCACACCTAGGTCGAGTTTAGTTGCCGCGACGAACATTGGGGATTCCAGCTGTGTGCTTATACTAGTGTGGTAGTTTCACATAAAGTATGATTCCATGAGTATGTGCAGTGTTTTATTTTAATGTGTGATTAGCATACAACGGGAGAGCGCTGCACAGGAATTGACTATGTTTCAGTCTCTACTAAATGCAGAGATTGACCTGGCGAGGCATAACTATGTACTTATGGCGTTGTAGTGTATGCTAGTGTATATAGTGTGCTGTCTTCGAGCAGGCCTTATATACATGGATCACCATCTACAGATTACGAGTGCTATACAATCGCATCTCTCACACTTGAGTATGTTCCAGATTCCATTATTGACTATGGGTCACTGGTAAGCGTGCCAGCCACAGGACGGTATATATATATATATATATATGTATTTATGTATGTATGCATGTATGTATTTATGTATGTATATATTTATCTATGTATATATATATATATATATGTGTGTGTGTGTGTGTGTGTGTGTGTGTGTGTGTGTGTGT